ATAATAATAATAATAATTATTGAGTTTCACATAGTTTACGATATTATCTAATATATGAAAAATTAAAATTATGAAACCCTTAGAAAATAATAATGTATTTATATTTTATCACAGGTGTAGTTTTTGTTCTTAAAAATAAAAATTAAAAAGTGCAACTTTATGATTTATCATAATTTTTGTTTAATTTTTACTAATTACAGTATGATTCATGTTATTGTTATTTAGAATTTAAAACATAACATTAATGATAGAAAAAAAAGAAGCAAAATTATGATAAAAATAATTAAAATTTAATTAATTTGATTTTTTTACTGTTTAATTTTAATTTTAAAATTAATTAATTATTATTTATTTAAAACAATGCATAGCATGAATGTTATGCTAATACCATATACAATCCAAACAGAGATTTTGCCATGTTGAAAATCTAGACAAACCAATCCTACGATGTGAAGGGTTCTCTTTGGACCCGTTTGTTTTGGAGTGTAGAGACTGAGACGAGATTAGGATGGAGTTGAAATTTATTTAGTGTTGTGTGAGATTCATATACAAAATGAATTTGAATTACATATTAATATTTTAAAATAAAATTCTAAATTGGGCTAAATAAATATGAAAACTTTTATTGTCAATTTTATTGCAAGTAATTCTTTTTCAAAAATAATATATTTATGTTCATTTGGTTTAAATGTTAAAGAATTATATCCACAACTTAGTACTTCTTTCTGTAATTTTATGGGTATTGAATTTTTTTTTTTTGGTCTAATCCCATTTTCTGATAAAGGTATTTCTTTATCATGCCATGATTTACTTGGTATTGCTTTAAGAACACATCTCTAGCATGCTTCGGAGGCATTTGTTTCTAAAATTAATTTATCACCTGTTTTAGGAAGATAAATGACGGGTAAAGCTTTAACATTTTCTTTAATTTGTTTAATAAAAGCAGCATCCTCTGTTGTCCATTCAAAAATAACATTTTTTCTTAATTTGGTTAACCAAGGAATTTTTATTTTTGAAAGATTTTTGATAAAATTTCGTCCATAATTTAAAATACCTAATAAACTCTGTAATTGTGTTATATTTTCAAGAGTATCAGGAAAATCTCGTACTTTGGACAAAATATGTTCTTGTAATTTTAAACATTTTCGGTCTAAAATTATATCCAAAAATTCAATTGATTCTTTTTCTAGTTCAATCGTTTTTGGTGACAAAATAATTCCATGTTTTTGGAATTTTAAATGTTCCTTATGCTCCTTTCGGGTTTTGGAGAAGATAAGTATGTCATCAATATAAATTACACAACAATCTTTAAGATCTTTAAAAATTGTATCCATCCACCGTTAAAATGCCTATGCTGCTATATTTAACCTAAAAGGCATAACATTCCAGTGGTAATGTCCTCTAATTGTACTGAAAGCTATAAATTTTTTTTGACTCTTCAGTCAATTGAATTTGTCAAAAACCACTCTTACAATCAAGTTTACTAAAGATTTTTTAACCTTTGGTTAAGTTAATCAAAACATCTTCTTGGAATAAAATATCCATCAAATTCTAAATTTTCATTTAGCCGTTTATAGTTGACTACCATTCGGGCCTTTCCTCTTTTAATTTCAGCATAGTTTCTTACCATAAAAGTTGAACTAGAGTGAGGGCTTTTAGTTTCTTCAATCAACTTTTTATCTAAAAAGACTTGAAGTTGAATATCAAATGCATTTATATATTGTCTAGTATAGATTATGGGTCATACTCTAATGATAACATTAGGGTCTTTCAATTTCAAACTACAATAACGCAGATTACGTTGCCATAGATTTAATGGATTTTCATTAAAATTTTCTTCTAGAATTTTATAAATCCAATGTGATTCATCAATAGTTTTGATGATGGGAGTTAAATCACCAAGCGAAACGAGCGCAAACTTTTTATCACGAATATATTTATATTGTTCTAACAATGAAGGCACCAGACATACACACTAGGAGGGTCTTAGGTATCTATAACAATCTATAATGACAATTAATCCTAAAGATATAATATGCTTTGGAAATACAAAAAATGATATTAATAATAAATATGATCATAGTTTGCGTATCACTAAAGAATCTGCAAATATAAATAGTGTGTGTTCTAATTTAAATAATATTACAGACATTATATGTTCTTGGTTTTCTAAATTAAATAAAAATCAAAAAATAAATCAAAATTATTTAGAAACCAAAGTTTAGTCTATAGAATCTAAAATAGACAATTTAGGTTCTATAATAAATATTGACTTAAACAAAGAAGCAAAAACCTAAATAAACAATTTGGTAACTAAATTAGAAACTATATCCTTCATAAACAATGATGGAGTGAATAGTCCAGGAGATAACTCCATTCCTAGGCTATTTTATAATACATAAGATATTCTAGTATTTCAAACCAATACCTATAATAGGATTGAATATGAAAATATTGTTGAAATATTAGATTATTGAAGAAAATTATATAGAGATCCAGATTTAGGTTTGGATGAAAGAAATATGCTACTAGATCAGATAAGAGAAACTTATCTAGAGCATGAAGCCCTTTTACAGCACTTTAATTATGATATTAATATGTTAATTAATGATGATCACTACAACAAAAATAGTCTTTGGAGATGAAAACTAATGACAAAAAAATTTTGTGTCACGAAATACGTATCTTTTAAGGATGAAAATCATATTTTGTCTCCAAACGTACCATTTTTGGAGATAAAAATAAAATTTCGTCACCAATCTAAATCATAATAAAAAAAATAGGTGACGAAATTATATTTCGTCATTATTTATATTTTTTTTGTCACCAAATATTTTCCCGCTAATATTTTCGGAGGGCGCCAAAATTAATAGACTTTTGGTGACGAAAAAATTTGTCACCAATTATAAAATTATTAATGACGAATATATTTTTGTCACCAATAATTTTTAATATTTTAATATCATTTAGTGACAAAAACTATTTTTGTGGCCAATATTTTTATCTTTGGTGAAGAAATAATTTTGTCACTAAAATATAATTTTGTCACTAAATATTTTAGGGGGGAAATAAAATTTTTTTGTTACAATCGGTTCTTCTTCTCAAACACACACAATAATTTCTCGGTTCAAACCTATTTCACACACACGCGCGCGCGCGCGCGCGGTATACTTATTCACACACAGGGCCCTCACCGCCGTTGCTACCATTACATCAACCCACCGCTGCTGTGCCGATCGAAGAACACCACCGCTGTTAGTCTCTCTCTCTCTCTCTCTATGCTCTCTCTGATGTATTTGTCTGTTGTATATGCTCTGTATTCATATGAAATATGCTCTGTATACATATAAAATATGCTCTGTATAAATTTCTTTAGGCAGATAGTTATGTAACTTTTTGGTGTTCAAACAAATTTTTAAGACTTGTACATTAGAGAAAACTAAAGGACTATTGGAGTAAATACTAATGTTGGGGTGAATAAAGGTTTTCCTTAATCCGTGATCAAATGAGGATTGGCTAATGGAGTAAATGGACTACATGGGTTTACTTTCAAACTGAGAGATCAACTTCCTAACCAAAGGAGAAAGTCTATCGTCTTGACTAGAATAAGGAAAATATTTTTGTTTACAGTCTGAAATTTTCTAAGAGCATGGATTAAAAGGAACAAGTGGACCTTGTGGTCCAATGTCAAAAGTGTCGGCCTTCTCTTTGTCAAGAGTTATCTACAAGTTGTGTTTCATACACCAAGCTGATGTTGCGATGCTTTTCTTTTTCTTAAGTAACTGATAGTTTTGGTGCTCCGATGAATGGGGCTGCTAAACTTGCAGTTGTTGTAAGGAGCAGTGATTTAAAAAAAGGAATAGGAATGAGTTATGGAAAAATTCACTTGTATATGACTGCTATTTCTCCATTTTTTTTTTTTGTATACCATGTAATGGTCCCTCCAAACTCATTCCAGTGCTGCCAAATTTTTTGGAAAGCTCACTTTGTGTAAGAGTTGCCCTTCAAAATTTGATTACTCATGTAATGCCCCCCCCAAAAAAAAAAAAAAAAATTTAATCCGACTTCCTATTAAAACGCCATTGGTGACTATATGTTAAAAAAACTTGCAATAAATAAGAAATATAGTCCACTTGATTATTGTGAAATCATAATTTATTTATTTTTTAAAAAAAAGTTTACTAAAAGCAGTTAAATTGTGGTAAAGAAAAGAGATTTGTTTCTTATGTAGATTCTTATGGTTTTTTTTTTATTGGACCACTAGTGAGGCTTTATGGCCCTAAAAATATAACTATAATCGGAGAACACCACCGATGTTAGTCTCAATTTTTTCTTTTTCGGTTGATCCCCACCTTTCATTCCTCAGTTTCCCTCTCACTGGTTGCAGATTTTTTTACATAATATATATATACAACCTGTTATATATATAGGCTGTTATGTTTCAATCCCATCTGGTTGTTATATATATACAACCTGTTGATACTTCAATTTCAGTCCCATCTACTGCATATATATAGGCTGCATATTTTAGGCCTTCTGATAGTGGCAGTGCATTACATGTATTAGAAGCCATGCCTCTTTGGTCTCTGTAGTAGTAGTAGTGGTAATGTTATGTTTAGGTAGTATCAAGTATGCTCTTACACTAGCTAGTATGTTTTTAGAAGGGGCCTAAGTTAGTAGGTGCAACATCAGTAGCCTTCAGTGTGGGAGTTCTGCTGGTGGAGTATGTTGGTGTTATAATGGTAGAGTATTTTACTTTTGTATTGCAGTAGGAATGGTGTTAGAATGGTGGTGTTAGAATGTTAAAATCAATAATGACCATTTTTGTTAGTTTTTATTCCTTACTTGCATATAACATTAGAACTTGTATAAGAATCTTCATTAAAGATCTGGACATATATTTGGTGAAGTTGTTATTGAATTTTTCAATTTAATTAGTTCATAAATACACAAGTCTACATTATACTATACTATTCCTAATCTTTCATTTGTGATCAGACATGGATAAAAGTTGGATTGCCCTAGGTAGGACGGCAGATAGAAGGATGAGTAAACCATATAATGATGGGGTGAAGTTATTTCTTCAATTTGCAATGGCGGTTATAGACCAGAATGGTAATCTATTGTGCCCATGTATAAAGTGTGTGAATGTTTGTAGACAAAATCTTCAAAATGTGGAAATTCATTTGCTCCAATATGGGATTATGCAAACTTACACTGTATGGCACCAACACGGGGAACCCCGTGTTTCAAACGAGGCTTACCATGATGATGAGATGCGGCTTGATGGTGATGAAATTGTAGGTGGTATTGAAGCCTTAGTGGAAGATCGAATAAGAGAGGAATCGACTGATACAACCCAAGGGGAGGAAGTGAGAACTTTAGATCAATTGTTGACTGATGCCAAGTGTGAGCTGTTCCCAAATTGTACAAATTATACTTTGTTGAAGTTTGTGATTGAGGTGCTTAATATGAAGGTAACAAATCATTGGAGCAATAAGTCAGTTGATATGATGCTAGAGTTTTTAAGTAGACTTTTACCAAAAGAAAATTTGGTTTCAAAGTCAACTTATGAAGCTAAGAAAATACTACGTGACTTGGGCTTGTCATATGAGCTCATTCATGCTTGCATAAATGATTGTGTATTATTTTGGAAGGAGAATGCAACACTAGATAAATATCCGACTTGTAAGATATCTAGATACAAGATCAATCGTGGAAGGGGTAAGAAGATCCCTCCTAAAGTATTGCGGTACTTTCCTTTGACACCAAGGTTGAAAAGATTGTACATGTCAAGGAAGAGGGCTGACGACATGAGATGGTACAAAGACAAACGAGTGGACGACGAGATATTGAGACATCCCACTAACAGTGATGAGTGGAAGGAATTTGATGCACAACATCCCGAGTTTTCCTTAGAGCCTCGAAATGTGAGGCTAAGGTTGGCCGTTGATGGGTTTAACCCTTTTGGGAACATGAACAACTCTTATAGTTTGTGGCCCGTCATACTCATTCCATACAACTTGCCACCTTGGTTGGTTATGAAGGATCCATTTTCTTTGATGTCATTACTTATTCCTGGAGAATTGCAACCAGGGATTGATATTGACGTCTATATGCGACCATTAGTGGATGAGTTGAATAATTTATGGACAAATGGTGCATTGACTTACGACGCCTCCACCAATGAGACTTTTCGAATGCATGCAGCTTTGTTGTAGACAATACATGATTGGCCTACATTTGGTGACATATCTGGGTGGAGAACAAAGGGTCATTATTCTTGTTACAGTTGCAATGATGAACCGTATTTTGAATCTCTGAGAAGTAAGATGGGGTACACTAACCATCGATGTTACTTGCCTGAGGACCACCCAGAAAGGCGAAAGAGTAGGGCTTACAATGGTAAGATTGAGAAACGAAAGAGATCTTTGGAGTTGCTGGCGGAAAAGATACAAGACCAGTTGGACAACGTGGCACGTGTCATATATGGAAAGCATCCAAGTAATAGAAAAAGGCCCCGTCAAGCACCTAATTGGACAAAGGTAAGCATCTTGTATGAGTTACCCTATTGGAAGAATCGAAAACTTCGACTCAACATTGATGTCATGCATGTGGAGAAAAATTTTAGTGAAAATGTTTTCGGAACTATGTTAGGCATTGATGGAAAGAACAAGGATACAGACAAGGCACGGTTAGACTTGGAAGATATGGGTACAAGGAAAGAGCTATGGCTAACACAACGACCCGATGGATCATATGTCAAGCCTCGAGCAATCTTTTCATTGACACCTGCAAAGAAGGAGAGTTTCTTTGAATTTTTAAAAACTGTCAAGTATCCAGATGGGTATGCGGCAAACATATCCAAATCAGTGAATGCAAGAAATGGTAGACTAACAGGCCTAAAAAGCCACGACTGCCATGTACTAATACAAAGAATTCTTTCCATTGGAATGCGTGGTTACGTGGATAAAGAAATTAGCACAACACTTTTTGAGTTAGGCAATTTCTCCAAGACCTATGCTCTAGGACACTAAGGCGGAGCGAACTGGAGAAATTAGAGGAACGTATAATACACATTTTATGCAAGCTTGAAAAGATCTTTCCTCCAGCCTTCTTCGATGTGATGATCCACTTGGCTGTTCATTTGCCTCGTGAGGCTATTCTTGGAGGACCTGTACAATATCAATGGATGTATCCAATTGAAAGGTATTTTTTATACTTATACTTGTAAATGAGATTTACGTAAGTGTGTTGCATATGTAATTATACTCCTAATTCGATCTCTCTTGAAGGTTTCTTGGAGCATTAAAAAAATATGTGACCAACCGAGCTTAACCAGAAGGTTCAATTGCTGAGGCTTACATTGTCAAAGAGTGCATTAGTTTTTGTTCAATGTATGTTGATGGGATTGAAACCGTGCATAATCGACCAGAATGGAATGAAGATCGCGGTGAACGTCAACAAGGGTTGACAGTATTCACAGAAACTGCACGTCCAATTGGTCTAATCACACAAGATGCTGAAATGTCTCAAGAAATTCGTGATATTGCTCATTGGTTTGTGTTATACAATAGCCCAGAGATTGAAAAGTATTTGGAGTATGTGTTTCATTGAATTATGTTTATGCTTAGCTTTTTTATTTGCGAAACTACGTAGTAATCACTTTTTTTTTTTAATTTTTTTGAGTAGGGAACACAAAAATCTATTACAAACTCAAGCTAGACATGACATAACCCACATACAACGACAAGAATTTCCCAAGTGGTTCAAAGAGCGGGTAAAACATTTATAATTTTTCGACATTTACAACTTTAACAAAATTAAAGTTTTATGAAATGTCCTCATTCATAAATTATTTACTTATTGTTTGTTTCATGTAATTGTAGATAAATAGATTGAGAATGGAAGAGTCATTAGAGGCAACTGATGAATTGTGGTCATTAGCAAATGGTCCTAATTTTCTAGTGAAAGATTACTCAGGTTGCATAATCAATAGCAGTCAGTCCATACTCAAGATCTAGACAACTGTCGTACGAGTCAGAATAGTGGTGTGCTTACACACGGGGATCATGAAGGAAAATTGCATGACTTCTACGGTCACTTGTGCAAGGTTTTGGAATTTGACTACATATGTGGTAAAAAGGTTGTTTTGTTCCAGTGTGAATGGTACAACACCAGTAACACTAGTAGAAACAGAACAATACGATTTGATACATATTGCACAAGCATTGACGTCACAAGTCGGTGGTACCAATTTGACCCATTTATCCTACCTAGTCAAGCTAAGCAAGTCTTCTATCTGAATGATACCAAATTGGGTGAACCTTGGAATATCGTACAAAGGGTGCAACATAGGGGTGTCTTTGATGTTCCAGACACTAGTGATGGAGAATTATAGGATCCTTTAGAAAATAATGATGTGTTCCAACAAGAAAACATTACTGATGTTGTTCTAATTGACATTGACCCAATTGTTCGATACTGTAGGGATTATGTTGAATTCAATGTTATTTTGGAAGTAGGGTCATCAGATGCGATAATGGAAGAGAATAGAGATAATGATGGAGATGAAGAACATAACATTCCTGATGTTGATTTGGATCCTGATATGGATTATGATATGTAATTTTTAGTATATCACTTTATTTTCGAACAGATGTTATTAATTAATGTAATTTTTATTTTATATGATTATGTTACTTTCTTTTTCTTCTTTTATGTAATGGTGCATGATGACATTGTTTATATTTTTCAATTAAAGTTGAATTATGTTATATAGTTGTAGAAAATGGTTCGAGGCAAAAAACAATGGCTGAAACCAGGTGATTTGAGAACTAAGAAGCTAACAGAATACGAGAAACAAATAAATAAGCAAATCAAGGAGAACTGTGAGGTAATGAACAATCTTGGAGTGAAGAATATTGCAAATTCTTTAGGGAGTGCGGTTCGGCCCAAATATGCAATTGCAAGGGAAAGGGGAATTAGGGTTGAGGTAGATGATGTTATTGAGTATAACCCTTCTGAGAGTGAGGATGACAATGATGATGAGCCATTGGGTTCCTTTGACCCGCGAGGTATTATACACATTATTTTATATTTGTGTGTGAACATGTCTTTTACTTTTTACATTTCTTCTTCACATATATTACACATCATATCTTTTTTAAAATATATTTTAACTGTTTTAAATATCGTTTTCACTGTTTGATTATGTTCTTTCAGGAACAACAGATGGCACTAGGACTATGTTTACGGTCTCATTCAAGGCCATTAACTCCCACCCCAGAGGAAATGATGGATCCCCCAACTGAGGAGGTCGGTACCCAACCCTTACCACCTCATAATGTGCAACCTGAGGACGAGGTGACTGCATCTACCATCATTGGTAAGTTTGCAAAGTTGTTTTTAAGGTTTAACTTGCATTTGTTTACTTACTAACTCAATTAATATTATATCCTTACAGCATCACATGACAGACGTGGTCGTGGCCCGACACCCAGCATACAGGCCCATCACATTGTCGAGAAGGATGGGAAGATGTTAGTTCCTATACCTGAACAGTTCCATGCACCAGTAGGAGACAACGCCTCCAAGCTAGCCTCCAAGATTGGTATAGAGGTTCGAATGCAGTTACCAGACCTGAGCGTTCGTAGGTGAAAGAAGGTGAATGTTGCTGATAAGGAGCCGATGATCCAACGCTTAGCGGTAATTATTGACAAACTCTTTTCATGTCTAGGCTCTGTTTCTTTGTAATTTTTAATTTTTTTTCATTTTGCAGGATCAGTTTGATCTACAAGGCAATCAGACTGAAGTAGCAAAGGCTTTAGACACACAGTTTGGTCGACGATTGAGTGGTTTCACCTATAAGTTACACAAACAATACAAACAACTTAAGGATGCAAGAGGGGAGGATTACGCGAGAAGCCACCCACCTGCAAGAGTTACTCTCAATCAGTGGACATCTCTAATTGACAAGTGGAATAGTAAAAAATTCAAGGTAAAATGTTTTATGTATGTTAATTGTCAAAAATTAAGTTTTTTCTTACTAATGTTATCTTTTCTTGTTTGTATTGGTGTTTCAATTGTGTAGGAACAATCACTAGCTACTGTGAATAATAGGATGCAAATGAAAACAAAACATCGATGTGATTCAAAATCAATTCCGATCAGGGTACACAGCTCGGTGCATTCTACTAATTTATTTTATTGGATTAGTAAGCTTTGTTATTTAAATCATTGAATTAACATTGACAAACAAATGAAACAGATAATTGCAAATGGCAAAGTACCCGATTTAGCAGAATTTTACAAGTCCATCCACTACAATTCGGACATGCATGAATGGATTTCATCGGAGAGCCAAGTTAATTATGTATGTACAAGACAATGCCTTTCAATTTTGATAATATTATTTATTTTGCTGTGTAGGGTAGAATAAGTAATACTTGTTTGATTTATTTCAAATTAATAGGACAACATGATACAGATGCAAGCAGAACACCTTTCGCAGACTAGTGCGATCCCCTTGACCCCAGAGGAGTTGTCAGTCAAGGTGCTTCAGCCAAGGCCAGGTTATGTGAAAGGACTCGGTATGAGGCCTTCTTCTTCTGTGAATACAACTATTGCACCTGCTGAAAATAATGACTATGTTCAACGCCTCGAGCTGCAAATAGCATAACAAAATGAACAAATTGCAAGGTTTGAAAAGTCAGAGAAGAAACAAAGCAAGAAGACACAGAGTATCATCGAGTGTTTGAGGCAGAAAGGTATCACAGGAAATTTTGAGAGTGGGGAAAGTTCAGATTCTGAGGGACAAGCTTCTTGGTTAGTATATTATGTTTCTATCTTAATTTAGTAGAAATTTTTTCTTCAACTAAGATAGTGAACTATGCATGTAAAAGCCCAAGAAACATCACAAACATTGAAATATACACGTGGCTCCCAATTAGGAAACTACTTTGAAAATTTGCACTATTCCAACATGTAGGCATGAAACTAAGTCGAGAACTAAGTCGAAAACTATTCCAACATGTAGGCATGGAACTAGTCGAAAAATAGACCACCGGAGGCCAAAATCGTGCAACAGCCACGAGACGGCCTGGGGAACACCTTAAACACCTCGGGAGGGACCAATGTGAGTTGTGGGAACTTACGAAACTAGCACGGGACTCCCGGTTTGAAAACTAAGTCCAAAAATGTAATTTTTCACACTTAAGCT